GTGTAGTGGTGGTTGTGAGCTGGGACGGTGGGCGAACGAATTGAGGTCTTGTGGTGGTGGTGGTGACTGAGGAAGGGAGGGATAACCAGAGAGGGAGATTTGTAACAAAAAAAAAGAGAGAGAGATAACGTGAGACAAGGAAGGGAGGAAGAGATAGAGATCTGAGTATGAGTGATTTCTAGTCATAGGATCAAAAATATTCAATGGTTAAGATTGATATCCTTGTGTTTGAGATACTAACCAATAAGAAAAAAGGAAAAAGATAAACCAAACATTAATTTGTGGCCTTTGGATTGAAATCAATCAAAGGCCAAAATAAATCCATTAGAAAATTGTTTTCATTTAATATAATAAATATATAAGTTCGAACCAAAAAAAAATTAATGTAGTTATAGTTTGGTGTCAATGTTACAAATAATAGATTGGAAATTTTAAAATTATTTATAAGTTAAGATTTACTTTTAAATGTAAAATGAAGTTAGTTTAAAATATAAGAGTATAGTAAATAAAATTAGTTTAAAGGTTTAAAATTTGAACATATTAAAGTTTTAAAAATGTATACTCAAAGCTTGGTGTTTAACTATGAGAATATTAGATTTGTAATTTATGATTCAGTCTAATAAATAAATATGTAAATTGAAGGTTTGAAGTTTATTATGATATATAAGGTTTAGAGTTCATGGTTATGATTTAAGTTAAAATTCAAAAATAAATTTGAATTTATTTGAAGAATTAATTTAAGTTTGATTTTACAGTGAAACCTCTATAAATTAATAATGTTGGGACTACACCAAAATTTTATTTTTTTAATTAATTTAGAGAGATATTAATTTATCAATATATTAATCAAACCAAAAACTCAATTTGGGACTATAAAATTATATTATTTTATAGAGATATTTAGTGTATATTAATTTATCGAGTATTAATTTATAGAGGTTCTACTGTATATTGAATTTAGGTTTTAGATTTTAAGTTATGAGTTTAGAATAAGACTTGAGTATAGGGTTTGAGGGTTAAAGGTTTAGGGTATTATGATTTAAGATTAATTATTGAAAAAGAAATAGTGTTTGAGTTTATATTTAATATTTGATGTTAAGTTTAAGATTTGATATTAAATAGTTAGATTTTGAAGTTATGTTTAAAGTTTAGGGTTTAAAATCTTGTTTAGGGTTTAGAGATTTAAAAAGTCAAAGATCGCGTTTTTAATAATGTGCTACTAAAAATACACTATCATAACGTTTTTAAATATACAATTCTATCATAGAGTTTCTAAATATATAAACGCTATCTAAAACTAACGCGTATGTCAACCATAGTAGAAAGACAAAAAACGTTATCCTTCACTGCTATCAAAACCCATTTTTCTTGTAGTGTGTACAAAAGCAATCTAAGGCTGTTTATAGAAAACATATCTCTCACAAAAGACTATTTACTTACGAATGGCCCAAGAAGCCTAAATCCCCAGATAGATGATCTTGGCTTCATGGTCCGTTTGCCCCCATCATTTACTATCAAACAACAATCGAGTCACTAAAGCTAAGTGTGTGTTACGTCAATTTATCAGAGTTCATGAAATCGAGAGTGCTAAGAAGCCTCACCATTCGTGCTCGAATATTTCACAACATTGCTGTCAAAAGTACATTGTAAAATATAATTGTAAATTTGTTCAAAGTGCGAGCTGAGACATCTCGTATGGTTTTTCACTTTGAGAAAACATATAAATGCGGAAGACCTAATTCAGTGGTGCAATATTTTAATATAAAATGAGGATAGAAATAGTTTCTCCTCAAATATAAAATGAGGATATAAATAGTTTATGAATAGTGATTCACATTTTTTTTTTCTTCTCGAACTTTTTTATTTACAAATTGATCTTTCAAATTCATATAGTTTTTATTTATATCTAAATAAATATTTAAGTTTTATACTTTCACAAAATAATTAAGACTTATGTTTATAGAATTTCAAGTTCATATAAATCCTTGTTATTCTATTACAAAGTACATTTATGTATATATGTACTAGGTTAGTTAAAATAAAATTATATTTGGATAAATCTTTAAATAAAAACTAGAGTTTAACCGGCATATTCGTGCAAGTAAATTTTCATTTCATATATGTTTAACATTGATATTATCATAAAAATTAAATATACAAATTATATCTTAGTGTTATGTATTGTATAACTCTTTAATTTTATTGTTTAGGTTTCTTATTACTTTATTAATATAATGATTTGTTTTATACATTTTACCTTTTTATTAATTGTTATTATATTTTCAAGTTTTTATATTTAAAATAATCAAATAAAAATACTCTTCAACATATATTTTTTTAAAATATATAGCTGTAGAAATAAATTTTTAACATATGTTAATAACTTTATTTGTATATGATATAGTTAACAAATTTGAACCTTTTTAATGGTAGATAATAATTTATTTAAATGAAAGAATTTTAAGAAATAATAGGTTAATTTACCAATTTAATATAATTATATCATATTTGATTTATATAATAATTTTATTTTAATATAGTATAGACTATAATTATAAATTTATAAAAATAGAAATCTTTTTTTTTTGGTTTATAATAAAATTTAATTAATATAACGTATACTAATATTATAGTACTTAATTATGAAATTAATTAATGCATTATTTAATATAAAGTGTTTAAAAAGTTTAGTAAGATTTTGTTAGATTTTTTTCAACAGATTTCTTTATAACTAAAAATAAAATTTAAATTAATAGTTAAAATTAATTTATGATTAATATTTTTATTGATTATTATATCATATTATGCATTAATGAAATAGATCTAGTAAGACTTTTTAATGGTAGATAAAAGTGGTACTTTTATTTTAATAGAAAACTAGATTCTGACCCGCGTAACCGCGCGGGTATTTGTTTTCGTTTATAGTTAGTTATATAAATATTTTGTTTTCATTTGTAAATTAGTATATATTATATTAATTACATATTTACGATAAGTATAGTAGATATTTTTTAAACATAATAATATTATATAATATGTGTTTTAATCAAATAGATTGTTTCAAATTTTCTATATTATACGTGTTTGTTTCTTTTTCTTCTATATTTTATTGTTTGTTAGATTAGTATTTCATTTTTAGATAAAGTAATATAAATAGAGCTTGACTAAATATTAGTATACTTTAATTTGCAAATATAATATAAAATTTGAAGAAAATTTTGCTAAAAACTAAACCTATAGCTTCATAAATTAATATTATAATGAATTTTATTAAAAAGAAATTTTTAAACAATTTTTTTTAAACAATATCATTTTAAAAATTCACATCGAAATAAATTTATCTAGTATATATAGCGTGTAAATTTTGTTAGGGTATATAAATATTTCATATTATGAATATGTGATTTTTGTTAATATATTGTGGATGTATTTAACTATTATTGACATATTTCCTTACAAATAATAGAAGATTTCTAAACTTATATCTATTGACATATTTTGCGTGACTAAGTTAGAAGGTGTGGGGTAATTTACCAAAACTAAATTGTAAGCGTATCTTTGTTATTATAGATATGATTTTTCATAAGATATAATAATGATAAGATTATTAGAGAGTTAATTTAACATGACTTTCTAGTAACAGTCCATTTTTAAGAAAAATCACACATGAATTTAAGTCATGACTTCTGTTTTAATATATAAGATATATTGTTATAATTACTAATAAGTACCTAATAACAGAATACACTTGGAATATTCGGTTTTGAGAGTAAAAATGAAAGTAACAATTTGAGCACAGCTCAAACTCATTTTGAGTTTACCTTATTTTGAGGAAAATTATTCTTAAGAGTAGCCATTGGAAATACTCTAACCGGATCTACATTGTAAATATTTCTATTTAATTAAATAATAACCAAATATACCTCTATAATTTATAAATATAAAATAATAAGAATATAGCTAATAGCCATTTTAGAACGGATTTTTATTGTCAAAGCTTATAATAAATTTGAATTTGATTATTCATTGGCATCAAATCTTCTCAAAGCAAGGTCAGCTTGATTAGATCAATATGTCTTAACTTAAAGCATAGATGTTATGAAAACACTATTATTATACGAGATATTCTTAGGTTCACCCCCTAGGGTGAACCTCTAGATTCACCTACCAATAGGATGATGTTATTTTATATTTGATATCTTTTTTAAAAGGAAATAAAATCTTGTTAAGTTATATTATGTTTTTAAAATAAAAATACAAAACATAAATAAAAAATAATAATATTAAAAAACGAAAAAAAACTTTTTAAAAAATATTTAACACTAGACCCTAAACTCTAATCCTAAACCCTAAACCCTAATACTAAACCCTAAACCCTAATTCTAAACCCTTGGGTAAATCATAAACCCTTTGGAAAAATCTTAACCCTTGGGTAAATTAATACTAACCAATTATACTATTTTTTATTTATTTTTATCTTTTTATTTTAACCACATGTTTTTATTTTAAAGATATATTAAATTTTTTTTTTAAATTGTTTTTTATTACTATTTTTATTTTATTTTTATCTTTTATTTTAAAACAATATAATGTTAAAATAATTTAAAGATTTTTATTTTCGTTTTTTGTAAATATTAGTATTTTTATTTATTTTTCTATTTTTATTTTAAAAACATAATATAACTTGACAAGATTTTATTTCCTTTTTAAAAAGATATCAAATATAAAATATGGGGTGAACCCAAGAATAAGTCTTATTATACACCATACAAGTGGAGGAAGAGTCATCTTCCATTTTTAGTTAGTCTATATGAGGTATACTAGTTATGGAAATGTTTTTAACTAGTATATTTGACTAGTGAATCTAACATGGTAAGTAAATCTATAGAAGAGAGTAACATTTGACTAAGACATTTCAGATACAAAAGAAAAAACATTTCACTCAACCATAAGTTCCGCAGAGACGATATCTATCTCTTGTTTCGAAACTCTCACAAACAATGGATTCGAGTGCTCAACCAGACAGATTATCCAGTCTACCGGATGTGGTTCTGATCATGATAATCTCGTGCTTGCCTTTCAAGGATTGTGTTAAGACAAGTACTCTCTCCAAGCGGTGGAAGTCTCTCTATCGTGAGACAAGGGCTGTTGCTTTTAAGGAGTCTGACTTTGTGAGTCCTTCTCTCTACGGAGATTCCAGATTGTATGCTAGGATTGCCTTCCTTAGATATGCGTATAAATGGATCGCTTCAAGCAACGATCAACCCATCCATAGTTTTGAGATTAGTATGTCAAGTCCGGAGGTGTACTTGGAAAAGATCAACTCCCTGGTCACGTTCGCTGTCCGAAAAAAGGTCAAGAAACTAGTTCTTGACTTCTCTCACCCGACTTGGAGAAGCTTTCGTGACGTGAAAGATCTTCCTCGCATGTTAGGTTTTGAAGTCCCGGAGAGCGTTTATGGTCTAAACACTCTTGAGTCACTGAAACTTTGGGCATGCAAAAAGTTTGAACCATGGAGATTCGTAAACCAAGGAATATTCAAAAACCTCTCTCTCGGCTACATGAGGTTGCCAAATCTCGAATCATTTCTACGAGCCGCTTCTAAGCTTGAGAGTTTTAGTATCAATCGCTGTTGGGATGTCATGAAGATAGCCGGGAATATGAGAGAGCTTGTCATTGAAGATTGTAGTTTATTTTCTGTTCAATGTTCGTTTTACATGCCTAGAGTTGAAATCTTCAAGTACTCAGGAGATGCTTTTTACCTTCAATTCCTGAACATTGATCGGAACAACGTAAAGGAAGTTCACTTGGATTTCGGGGTGTATGATGAATATAATCAATTGATGGGCACAACCTTCCCACCAGGATTAATATGTCAGCTCCTTAATGTTCTCCCACCTACGAGGACCTTAGTTGTCTGCCAATATCTACTGCAGGTGTGTATATATGTATATATATATATATGTCTTCGATTTACACTTTTCACATTAGGTCATCAGTTTCATTCTAAATTATTCTTGGAACATTTTAAATTCTTCGTCACGTGGCAGTAATTGTTACCTAGCGAAAAGAAAGTATGTTGTCTAAGTAGTTTTTGAATTTGATTAGATTAAGTATGTACTGTACTCTTCGCGCTCTGAACAAACTTTCCCATTAGGAGGCGTTATCTCATTCCCTATATATCGTATCTACTAAAGTCATTTCAAAGACGATTTGTTGGCCGTAAGAATGACCTATAAATCTATACCGTAAAGTATTACATCAGATTCTTTTCTTCTTATGTAAAGGTGTTTCAAAGCTTTGAATGCCCGTTTGTGTTTCCTCCGGTCAAAACACAACATTTAATCCTGAAGACGAGGTTGTATCCGAAAGAGTTCAATGGGATTAGGTTCCTTCTCAATAATTGTCCGGATTTGGAAACACTTACTTTCGATATGCTTCCTCCAAGCTCCATTGTGGTAAATTATTTCCTTTTAAATGTTTATGTTATTATCTCTTTATTCCCAAAAATGATTTATGCATTGCTATATGACTATATACATGGATCCATTTATATTATTGACCCACACGACAGTGATTTCTTATTTTACAGATCGATTTGTTAGATCCTGACTTCGATCCACAAACGTACTGGGTACAAAACATAACGGATAATAATTGGAGAAAGACGCTTAAAGCCGTCGTGGTTAGGAACTTTATTGGTGGCCCGAACGAATTGAACATGGTGAAATATTTTATTCTGTCCCAGTGTGAGGGTGAGATTGTGCTGGAAAATGTTGAACTATATGTGTCGTATGGATTGGAAGAAAGTCAGAAGACAGTTGCATATGCAGGAGTTGAAATGTTGCAGCGAATTTCGAAGCATGTTCAGGTTCTAGTGCACAATTCTTGAAAAAGTGATCTCTTTTAAAACTCTTCACTAACTGTTTTAGTGATGTTTTGGAGTTTGTTGGTTTTATGAATAAAAGACTCATAAAAATGAGAACTGTGGTCATCTCTGTGGACCAAAGATAAGAATAATTTCATGTGTGGATTAATATCTTGATGATGTTATTTACAATTTGATCTCTGTTCATTTGAATTAAAGATTTTAGTTATTGTTTTCCCTGATTACTTACATTTTTAGTTCATATATTCGTTTTTGGTATTGTTTAACACAAGATATGTGTACTATGAACATGTATTTACAAAATTTCACTTAGAATATATAGCTAGTTAATTCATGTCACTTTCCCTCTTTATGTTTATTTATCCTTCATTCACTTTATAAGATATACTAGGTTAGATCCGCGCCTTGCACGGAATGAATATTTTATATACATTACTTTTATGCATTATATGTTTTTTTACATATCATACAATAATAAATATATACTAATAATTAAAATTCAGTAACTATTACGTATATAATTAAATTGGTGTAAATATATAAATACTTTTATTAATTTAAACAGTTTTTTTCTATTTTATATGATATACAATTAAGTTTAAATGATATTATCATAGAAATATAATACATTTTAATATTGATATCGGTTAAATTATATTTTATACTCATATTATGTTTTTTGTTCGTTTTTCTATTTTTTATAACAGAAATTTTAAATCACTGATAACAATTTTTATGTGTGGGATGTTTAACATTTTTTAGTAATTTATAATTTTAAAACATTATGAAAAGTTTAAAACTAAATATTAAGTTGTCACTATTTGTTCAAAATTTTTATTAAAATAAAAATCAAAGCAAATTAGAATTTAAATTACATATATATTTTATATGGTACATAATTTATATTTAACAGTATATATATATATATATATATATTATTAAACGAGACTTCTTACTTATATAATTTTCTAATCATTTCTATTTTGATATAAAAAAAAATTAATGTGAGATTTTTAACAACTTTAGTCATTTATAGTCGTTTTAAAAAATTCAAAGTATAGCATATACAAAAAATCTAAATTTTTATTATATAGTTAATGTATTTGTTTAATTTATTTTGATAAGTTAAAATTTAAAAAATACACTAATTTTTATCAAATCTCTATTATTTAAAATCACTAATTTTCATATATTCTCTAACCATATTTGGCAATTCCGTTATTTTTATTTAAGGAAATAATGATGCACATTAATAAGTCAATTATGATTAGTTTAATAAAAAGCTTATTATATATTTAGATGGACCAACATATTTTTCGAAGGATTCTAAGAATGATTATGGTGAGGACACGTGGCTAAAAAAAAAATGTTGATATACAATTAAGTTTAAATGATATTATCATAGAAATATAATACATTTTAATATTGATATCGGTTAAATTATATTTTATACTCATATTATGTTTTTGTTCGTTTTTCTATTTTTTATAACAGAAATTTTAAATCACTGATAACAATTTTTATGTGTGGGATGTTTAACATTTTTTAGTAATTTATAATTTTAAAACATTATGAAAAGTTTAAAACTAAATATTAAGTTGTCACTATTTGTTCAAAATTTTTATCAAAATAAAAATCAAAGCAAATTAGAATTTAAATTACATATATATTTTATATGGTACATAATTTATATTGAACAGTATATATATATATATATTATTAAATGAGACTTCTTACTTATATAATTTTCTAATCATTTCTATTTTGATATAAAAAAAAATTAATGTGAGATTTTTAACAACTTTAGTCATTTATAGTCGTTTTAAAAAATTCAAAGTATAGCATATACAAAAAATCTAAATTTTTATTATATAGTTAATGTATTTGTTTAATTTATTTTGATACGTTAAAATTTAAAAAATACACTAATTTTTATCAAATCTCTATTATTGAAAATCACTAATTGTCATATATTCTCTAACCATATTTGGCAATTCCGTTATTTTTATTTAAAGAAATAATGATGCACATTAATAAGTCAATTATGATTAGTTTAATAAAAAGCTTATTATATATTTAGATGGACCAACATATTTTTAGAAGGATTCTAAGAATGATTATGGTGAGGACACGTGGCTAAAAAAAAATGTTGTAATGCTTCTTCTTTAATATATAGGGGATGTGCTTTTTTGTGAAATTAGTTTATAAGAACAGATTGATTAATTGATATCCTGGCTCGTTGAAGAGTTGATTTTTTCTGAAAATATTTTTTGTTGGCATCATTTGAAAATGATATTATATTTTGTGTGTTTCACTTTGTTTTTGATATATTAAACAATTTAGGGTTTGTTATAGAATCTCTCTCTCTCTCTCTCTCTCTCTCTCTCTCTCTCTCTCTCTCTCTCTCTCTCTCTCTCTCTCTCATGTACCTTTCCCCGGCCCCATGTTATGAATCAACTTCAGCCTCTCATATATATAAGAATGGGGTAATTGGTGAAATAGCCATGTATGGCATATAAATTAGGGAACTAGACATGATTTTGACGTAATTTAATGTCAGGTATTTTTCTTTGTTTTCAACCGGTTATACCCTTAAAAGGAAGAGGTTACCAGTTGATATTATAAAGTAAACGACATGTTCCTTTTCTATGGTATAACTAGGTGATTTTCCCGTGCTCATGCACGGGTATAAATATTTTTAAATTAAATATTTAATAATAATTGATTATTATTTACTTTTAATTTTAAATTAATTTATAATTTGTATGCATCATTTATATTAATAGTATTATATTACTTTACTTATACTGTAGTTTTATATATGTTATATCTAGTCAATTTTGTTGTTTACGGTTGGTTTAGTTATCATTTAGATAAATTGGATTGCATCTTTGAATTCAACTGTAATATTTTTAAAATATATTAATTTTTAGTTAGTTACTTATTTGCATATGGTGGGTGTTGTCTTAGATATGTAAATATATTTTAGGAAAATTATGTAAAACTTAAGATATTTGTGCTTACAATGAATTAAAAATTAACTAAAGTGTGTGATTCCAAAATACGTAAATTAATATAACGAAAATATTCTAAAGTCTCATGGATATATATAAATTTTACAAAAGAACTAAAATTGTAAGAGTTAGTTAGTATTTATGTTTATTTGTTAATATGTTTTGAGTTATCATATGATCAATAAAAGGTTACATGCATTTATAAATTCTAAAAAACTTTATGCTTTAGCTTTATTGAATGTAAACTGAAATTTATTTTAAATAATCTTAAATTGAGAATTCAGATTTGATTTGATATTTTGATTATGGTTATATTTAGTTTCACAAACATAAAACATAAAATTTAAAACAATTAGTATTAAGAAAATAAATAATTTTAATAATGATAAAATATCATATATCTAGCTCATTAGAACAATTATTTTGACCAAACGATGTTTATTGTTAAATTTATTTTTAGTTTTTAATATCTCTTAAAAATAAGCACTACACAAAATTGTGATTGTAGTTGAAAATAATATTATATAAGTAAAATATAAGTTCTAGATAATTTTCTGTAATTGAAAGATATTATAGTCAACTAAATATATGAAAAAAATAAAAATTCAATAATACTAATTATAAACTATTTTATTACTCTAAAAGTATATTTTATGTTATTTTAAAATATTTTAAAATGTATTATTACTATTTTGTGAACTTTCCTTTTTTTATGAAATTATATTATATATACATATTTTTATGTTATTTAAAAATATTTTTAAATGTATTATTACTATTTTGTCAACTTTCCTTTTTTAATGAAATCATATTATATATACATATTTTTTCGTTTTAAATTTGTTTTTTATGACTTTATAAAAAATGTCTTTTTATTACATATCTTTTTGGAAATTTTTGAAAAGGAAAAACTAAAAATAAAAGAATTAATAATAATATTTTCAACTATTTTTAATTCATTAAGGGTATCAATGTTATCAACCATCGTGAGAATGAACGTGAGAGCGACACATAAGAAACTGACTTCTCAAATAATATTATAGAGATAGTAATCAAAAAACTATTGTAACGCGTGGAAGAGATTTATTCAACACATATGATGTAAAGGGATTAATCAAAAGCAGTGAATAATATGCAAGTATATCAGAAACTATGACAAACTAACGGCGACTGGAGGAAGATCATGAATGTCTATCCTATTCTACGGGTACTTATTTCTATACTACATACTCTACATAAAATAGTATAACTATTTCAACAGTGCAAATGTTCATGATGCAAGGAAACATGGTAATGCTTTAAGGTAAAGAAGACTCTACATCACATGGAATTTAACAAAACGCAACCCAAGGGACGATGAGATACAATATTTTCATGTCTGATCCATTTCACGTAGAATAGAATGACTCCATCTACTACTATTCCATTCCCAATGGCAGGCACAAATGTTACACCCAAATGTCAACCGGGTGGCATAATAAGAACATGACCAATAACAGAAGGTAATGTTGATCCCACCACAACGACTAAATATTAAACCGTAATCTCTAATAAGTGAACCCCAAACCAAAATGTAAACCCTAAAACCAAATATGAACCCTAAAACCACATATAAACGCTACATCACATGGAATGGAAAAAAATATATAACATAGTACTTAGTAGTTAAATTATCAAATATTTGTGATTGCATTTATTAACCCTCATCAATTGAAAGGCATAGTTTTCTGACATTAAACTAACATTCCCGCAAGTGTTTTACAAAGAGTACGTGAGAAAACATTTAAAACGTTATAAACACTAAACAAAAATTAAGGAAATATAAACGCAAAGCAAGTGACCACAAAAATTAAGGAAACTCTACATCACATGGAATGTTCCATTCTACCTAGGTCATCCATTCCATTCCGTTTTTCTATTCATCTATTCCATTTATAATGATTATAAATAATCTACAGATCCTTTAGATTCCCTTGCTATTTCGTTATG